CTGCTTTCTGCGCTGACACTAATTTGCCCGTTTCTCGTGTCTCTCGGTTCTCTCGAGCCCGCCGTAAAACTCTTCCGCGCGCACACCCTCCCCCGCACTCACCCCCGTCAGGTCTCCTTGCTCTTGTCCTCCATGCTGTTCAAAGGAACTACGTGTTTTACATCCCGTCCCTGAAACCCAGACCGCCGAATAAATGTCTAATGAAATTTAAATATTTCCGGGACGGGAAGCTGGACTGCGTGTGAAATTCTCGTCCGTTCCTCTTTTCCCAGGTGTTAGTGCCCTACGATGCCACAGAATACGTGCATGATTCGTTTACTTTTTTTCCTCCACCTTCGAGAATTAATTATTTTACAGGCTATCGACTTTGAATCATTGAAACAACCTCGTTGAATCGGAAATTATACCCAGAATTTTTATTATTTCGGGTTTTAGTGGCTGATTTACCGTAGAATAGAATTGGGAAATTCTATAATTCGATAATTAAAACTACTACTAAATTCCAGGATCTAATGCGAGTTTTTTTCAGGGAACTCGTTCGTTTGGTTACACAGAACATTCCATTCAAATTTGAAAATTATACCATTTTATTAGCTACTACCGATAAGCGGATGTATGATATGGGATCTGTTAAATGTATGAAATGCAGTTGGAAAATTCCATGGTTCGTGATAAACAACGGTACATTAAATTGACGTCCAAGGAGTTCAATTCATTCTGTTCTCAATTTTGTAAGTATCTAGAATTTTTTATCCTCAGAGATAAATATTCATACCAACATCATAATAAGAAATGACGCAACTAGAAGATTAATAAATCCAGAATAATGAATTGCAAAATATAGAGCATGAAACTTTATCTGTAAGTAGATTTTTCTATCAGGACTTAAGGTCCGTAACCTTCCTTCGACAAGAATGATTCTCAGTGTTGTTTAAAAGACAAACTCATTTAAAAACTTGCAACGTTTTAATCCCTTCTTGTCGCTCCACGGCGCAATAAACGTCCCGTTAACGACCGCAGAACTTGTACGGTGGAGCATCATTCCCTCCTTGAGCGATGGTCCTGCGGTGTCGGGATCGCCTCGTGTACGCAAACACTTCACGCGAAAAGTTACACCAAAACTTGCAAGAAAGTGCCTGGGTAACTTGCATTAATCCGATTACACCGATACGAAGCAGTGGACCGTCCCCGGAAATCAACAAACCGGTTCTCGAACTACTTGGGACTTCCATTATTTTATAACGTCGCGAATGATATCGGCCTGGTGAGACTGTTGCATTTTCATGACGATAAAATATCTGGGCAGACGAGTCGATACTACCTGGACGTTCAATTTCTCTAATTTTATGCTTCAGAGTGCTGTTTTGAAACTTGTTCGTTCATAAATTTAACGACAGTACAGTAGTGTCCCTCTAGTAGCATATATCCCGAGGTGAACCACAAAAGAAGCAGTAAATCATGGATGAGAGTTCGAAGGCTACTCGGCACTGAATGTTCAGACATCATCCCCACCACTGGACGTTCGACTGATTCCACGAGGGACCTCCCAATGGTGGGGACGAAGTCTGAACACTCAGTGCCGAGGAACCTTCGAACATTCATCGATGATTAACTGTATCGGTTAGATCTGTAGGAAATTAATAGGATTTAACATTTGATAATAACATTTTTTTTTTTAATTTTTACTAGTAGAAATTACCCAACCTAAAAAATAAGCTAAGTATTCCGTTAATATTTCCGGGTTTGCAAAGTGTTCCATTGCAGAAAAGATTTGGGAAACCCTGGTCTAAACAATTAATCTCATTCGCTCAGTTCCAAGCATTCATCGTTTATACAAAACACTCGCTTTACTCTAGCGACCACAGGCACGTATAAAATCCTCTCCTACAGAGCTAATCGAATGTTGACTAATTGAAAAATCGTATAAATATAAATCGTATAAATCTTTGACGAAGAATATGTCGGTATCTCGAGTGGGACGTTCTCTCAGGTGTACCGATAGCAAGACAATACTGCAATAAAATCCAAGTTTCGACGCAAGGGACAAAGCGTACGCCACGATGTTTGCGATTTGTAGCGTCCGTAGATCGTCGAAGGAGACGCTGATATACGCCAGCCGTCCTCGAAACTTATTTCCAACTTAGGGGGGTGGTTTATTTAAATGAATAGGTGCGCGAGGCGCATCGTCCCGGGACAGGGAACCGTGCAGATAAGGCAGAAGCCTCGGTCTCTTCTTCCCTCTGGTCGTCTCTATTTATAACCCAGCAACCACCTACCGGTTGCTTTCATCGCCGACTGTGCGACTGCAGCCAGTGCTCGCAGCAAGTTAAAACGCCGTCTAATTAAGTGCGCGAATTACGAGCTCGTACGCGAACTCGCGAAATTAGCCGGACCCCTGCGCGTCGAATAGAGTCCGAGATGTGAACGCGCGAAACTGGAAACCAGCGACGTGTATTAGACGATCAACTCCGTCCTGGTTAAGTAACGATTGTTTTTCATGAAGATCAGGAAAAGTGGGATTGCCTTAATTCTCAGAAGACGGACGTTTTTAATGTTCGTACAGCTTAAGGCCGTTTGGAACCCTAATACTTTCTACTTTTTGAACATTATTTCCGAACAGAATCATTCTGTAACCTAAGCGTTGTCCATCGACCTTCCCCTAAACACCATTTGTTTCAGACTTCCAACAACTTGAGAGTTTCAAATTCTCCACGATCTCCTCACCCCAGTATAGTAGATGAAGTAGAATCTGTCACGAGGAACTTCCTATCCAACTCTCATCGAGTCTTTCCTGTATTTTGTAACATTTTCCACATATTCGATAACTGTCCTAATACACTTATCAGTAAAAGTATGTGAAAATCTGCATCAGCAATAGTATCAAATTCTCCGTGAAGACTCTCTTCAAACAATCGTGATAGCAGTGACATCTTGTACCGAGACGGCCAGTGAATTAATCAGGAACTATCCCCCCGACGATCTATAGACTCTGCAGTGTGTCTAGTCGATCGTTCAGCTCGCGACAGGGTTAGCTCTCTCTTCAGCTGAAATTCCTAATTAATCCGCGATACCCGCATCTCCCGATCGCAAAGCCTTATCGCGGACGAAAGCCGCCTGTACATTGTTAATACCGATCGATGACTACGATTCGCGTACAAGCTCACACTGGCCGTGCTTGCATTCATCCGTGGCGAGCCTATAACGGAAGCAAGAGCCCGTTGGTTCGGAAAATGTGTCCGGGATTTCGCGGCGATGTACCGAGTATCTCGAGTAATCCAGGTAGATGGCATAGAGCGCGTCAGGTCTACCAACTTCCTCCTCGTGTACCCGATTTCACCGGCACGAACCACGGATCAACCATGTTGCGAAGCTACTCGACCGATCGAACTACAGATCCCCCCTGCTCCACAAATTTCCACTCTAGAGCTCGGTCACGCTATTAATCGTAACACCTGTCTGGAGTCCACTGCCTCTCTTTTATCGTCACCGCCTTTCGTATTCCTTTGTCACGGGTATTAGCTTCTGGATCAGCCGATTTGCGATTTATCGAGGTGATCGTAACTCGCGTACCACCTGGATTGAAACGATATCATCGTTATCGTCGTACATTTTTTTCTTCTGCACGATTTCTGAGGAACGCGATGGTTCGTAGGATTAAAAAATGAGGTTAAATCCGATTCACGAGCGTTGAAGGTTTAAATTTCTCAAAGTGGAGATAAAATATCGATTCCAAAAACACATCACGCTCGTCATAATTTATATTTCGCGATGGTCGTTATGTGCAGATAATTAACAATTAACGAATTCATAATCACGACGGACGTGAATTGATAACAGGAGGGCAGAGACGAAATAAAACAGCGAATCGCGTTATACGTGTTACTCGTTTCCGCCGGGATCCGATGAATTCGTGTAAACCGGATGGCCGCGCCTATGAATATTTATTTCCCTGGATCCATTAACACGTCGACGGAGGACCTCTCCCCTGTATACTGGTTCTTTCTTTAGCAACGAGTGCAATTAAAATGTTTTATAACAATTCTCGTTTCGCTGAAAAAATCGTAGCATGTCGAGAACCGCGTACTACAGAGTCAATTGACCTTCTCTTGGTGAACTGACCGGCATATTGATTAGTTCGTGTCCATCATTGTTGTTTATACAACCGAAAATATGGTATTAATGTATTACGTACGATGAAATAATTGTCATTATCATTGTTATTATTCTCATTTGATTATTTCGATATTAAACATGTAAAACTCATTTGGGAAAAGACACATAATTATCTCGAACTGACTGTGCAGGCTGTACACTCCAAAATTATTATATTCAGACCGTAAAAACTTCCTATTCTGTTTAACCCCTCGAGCGGTTCGGCGTACAAGCGTACGTCAGTATGAAGTCATTGCTCGTGACTGTTCGACGGCCACACATACTTTCCGGTTTGGTTAATATTTATTTAACCCCTTGCCTTATAACATCGAGACAGTATTTATTTTCATTGAGTCCAAGTGAAATTCTGTTTCATTGGTATTAATATTTAAGATTTAGAGTAAATGATAGACTTGCCCTGAGAATAAAATTTCTTTTGTATCTGGCAAATTATTAACGATAAAGTAATGCTTGGCAAGGGGATAATAATATATTAGTTTGTTACATATATTAAATAGATTAATATATTAATAGTGAAATTTATTAAATTACTACGAAACAATGAATTTATATAAATTAAATACCGTCTGGGCCATTTCTTCAGTTGATAATTACCCGCTTTAGGAGTTAAAAATATGTCGACCTTAATTCAAATGAATTATCAGTTAACCCGATTCGGTCAATCAACATAGAGTTCTCAGTTTTTTTCGAAGATTCACAACGTAGTGTCGATTAATCGTTGTATCTCGCCAATAGAAACGAAACAAGCGCGTACCAATGCAGATTTTTCTGTTACAGGAAAGGGTTACATAGATGAACGCACGATGGATACATGAATCGAAGTCATCATGGGCGGGCTCCAATTGATCCTCTTGGTGCTGGCATCATCGCGCCATTTCGTGCATCCGATCGGTGAGTCGAGCTTTCATTTAACAAATGCACGCATGCACGACGAAGAATTCACGCTCTCGAACATATTTTCCGTTCTCGGAATGATTCCCATAGAAACGCGCGCTTTACAAAACCGAACTGAAATTTTCGAAAATACCTGCATTTCATTCTTCAATGGTTCCGTCTGTCCAGATCGTTAACCATTAGTCACTTGTCTGTCTCTCGAGGATACAAAATATCGAAAAAATAGCTAGATCGAGCGGGAACAGGGAAGACACGGAATCCTCGATACCCACGTCACGAATTATTAACCTAATCATACGGGGTGCACGTTTCCACTGCCACTAAGACGTTCTCGGTGTCGAACTGAACTACCGATAGAAATCGAAGTCGGAGGATTTGCGTTTGTTCGGTAACTGCGATTTATAATCGTACAGAAACGAGGAAGTTACCGTTCTTCCTACCGATAAGGATCACCTTGATAACGGGTAATATCGGAAACTGTGGAGTACGTCGGATAAAGAGAACCTTTGTTGCAAATAATAATAGTCTACAGGTTTCTAAGAAGTCTGAGTGAACTGATCGAACTTAATAACACGACTCCACACCCCTACATTTGGAATCAGTGTAAATTCTATATATTCATTAAATCTCAATATTACTGTAATTAATTTTAGTCTTGATGGTACACAGAAAACTGTCGACCATTCACTAAAATTATCTTTGCAGATAAATCCCACCCTACCCCCTCCTATTAAAATATCAATGTATTCATTGCATTTCAATATTACCGTGATTAATTTTAGTCTAACAGACAGCTATCGACCATTCCCTAAAATTATCGTAGCAGATAATTTCCACCCCCCTTTCCAATAAAATATCTACGTATTCATTGAATTTTAATATTACAGTGATTAATTTTAGCCTTGGTGGTACACAAAAACCTATCGACCACTCACTAAAGTTATTTTAGCACATGAATTCCACACCCCCTCCCCCCTCCCAAATAAAATATCTACGTATTCATTGAATTTCAGTATTACAGTGATTAATTTCAGTCTTGGTATTATACAGACAGCTATCGACAACTAACAAAAATCACCCCAGCAGATAAATCAATCCCCCTCCCAAATAAACAGTCCACTCCAGTGGGACGCGCCCAGGAATATCCCCTTTCAAGTTAAACATCCGCGAACCGATTTTTCACCGAGATACAGTCGCTTGCGAGCTGATTTGAACCGCCAGGAATCGCGGGGTTTCCTAGCTGGTTACCCACCGGCGGGTAGCCGCCTAAAGGAACAGGCCTTAATCACGAAGAAGAGGAATGGACGAGCAGCAGACTTACCCCCCGGAGGTGGTGGTCGGTTATCTTCATCCAGAGGAAACACCAGCGGCGGGTACCGTTGGAACTTTCTCAATTAGTGCTCGAGCCCGATCGACCAGGAGCTCATTCGTATTCACGATGAACCTTGGGACCCGTAGATGGAGTAGACCGATAGCAACCGACTCTCTTCCTCGTTCTACCCCCATCCCCCTCCACCTCGAGGGCGCTCTTCCTCGACACTTTCTCCACCGCGGCGATCATCTCTTTTTCGCGTGGTTCCAGTCTCTGGTCCTCTTTCGCTTAATTTTCTTCCCACGGAGTTTCGCCGTGACGACGATTTCATCCCTTTGTTCTCCCCGTTCAGAGCATCCAAAGGCACCGAAGGGGCCAGGACCAGAGGACCGATTACAATCGCCGCTTTTAATTACTGTCGTTCGTTTAAATCAGTGATCGGGTTCGATCGTCGATATCCTCCGATGAAGTCTATACGTCAGGGATTAAAAGATGCTAGAGAGGAAAAGATGATCTATTCGTGGTTTGCTTCGGGGGGATGGGAAGCAATTGAAACAGCGTAGCGTGAAGTGAACTGTTTTTTTAGGAGCTGGAGCACGCGATGGGCAACTCAGCGCCCGCCAAACTCACTAGCGGGCAACACCGTGCAGCATGTGTGAATGAGAGCACGTATCTATCATTTGCTTCACACACAAATATGTCGTGAATCACGACTCGTGACTCGTGATGTGTCCTGCCTCGCGTCGCCTTCACAGGAGCCCGCGGCTGCCCGCCACTTGCCCATCATCACTGAGCTAGAGAAACTATTCACGGTCTTCTTTTATTACCCCGTAACTGCCAGCATTAATGCGTATATACACCTTCGCCGTCAGGTCCCCTGGAACAGATTTCTGATGTACTGGCCCCGACCAGAACGAGTCGACGACACGCAGTGGATATAACCAGTAAAATATGTCGACGGGATATACGCTTAACGAAGATAAAGGTATCGCTTCTCGGTGGGAACAAGTTGCCACAGCTAAGAAGCGGAGCTTATTCTTCGTCGTAACGACGTAGATAAATCTCGGGAAATAATTTTCCGAGCATCGTGTTAACGGCGCCTCTCCACCCTTCCCCCTTTGCTTTTTTCTGAGAGTTTCGCGGTGAGACGAAATAAACGGGGTGGTGGGGAGAGAAGGGCCGATGGGATGTCGACAAGTAACGCAACCAAGCTCTCCGAAACACGCGAGAACAGACTCGAACGATGAGGGAAACTTTCTTCCTCTATGGTTCATCTTGTCGAAAATTTTCCCGCGTCCCACCACTTAATTAATAAAAATTATTATGAAATTACGTTTTGGCATTTTGATTCAACGATCATCTCGAAAGTTTTAAAAATTATGCCTAACACTATTTTGTTGGCGGGAGACTGTAATGTACACACACAATAGTACCGCGAGCATGTACTCTATCCGCGGATAAAGATCCCCTAAAGTATCCTCTCGGAGTAGTCAGGAGCGGTTGACGTCGTTAGACGAGGAGGCACACATACTTCAGACTGAGCAGAGCACCATCCAGACGAAATTGGTAAAGAAGTTGCCAAGCGATTTCGAGAAGCACTGGCGTGCAAGCTGGAGAAGTAGGGGCTGGGGGAACGAGTAAAGACACAGGGCAAAGGGGAGAGTCAGTTGCGCTCTCTCGCAGTGTTCCTTAACGAAAATTCCACGCGGCGCAGTAATGATGAGCAAACTTAGTTTGCGAGTGTACAAGACCCAAATATATTCCCGTCGCTGAGCTACCCCCGGCCATTATTCCCGCATCCAACCTTCTTCGTCTTGTACGCGGACGATGCAACAAAGAAGACGCTCCCCCCAGAAGAGCACGAACGGTCGTTTCCATTAGAGGGAAATTTTCTTGCGCGCAGAGGAAAACGGTAAAACGAAAGGGAATACATACTTCGTTTCTAAGTTGCCCACGGTTTGTCGGCTTTTTGTTCTTGAGGAACCAACGGTTTCCTTTTATGAGAAGCTATGAGCACCGCGGAATAAAAGGGCGAGTTCTCCACGGCGGAGTAGACGTTCGCTAATTTAAGAGCGTTGCTTACGCGGGAACAACGAAGTGTACACGCGGCAGAATGTTTAACGGACTATGCTTTCTTGCTTGTGAACGATCGACAAGTTTAGTAAAGTTTTCTTTACTGGGCATAGTGAATGATGGATTATAACGATATGAAATTGTCTATTAATTATTCACTCTGAATACAGGGTATCATAAAAGAAACAATTACCATTTTGTTTTGCCATTTGTTTTTCGATCGAAGTTACCGACGGGTTTCATTTGACAGTCGTGTCAGTGGGGATAGTTCAATCGTATCATGGGACGATTTGACCCATCGACAACGTGCTACTCTGATGAACGCTTGTTACAAAATATCAAAGTGAATGGAAAATCACAATATACATATATACATATAAATTATATCTATTCGATTCAATTGCTCCCTTGCAACTACATACTATCCGCAACATCATACTAATCCGCGTTCGGCGCAGTGCGCTAATACGGAGGCCAACGAAATATCACTGTAACGCTTAAAAAAGTATTAAAGTTCCATTTATATCATTGTCCTGTGAAAATGTTCATACTTCCAGCAGCATTCATATTCCAATCAAAAAATTTACAGAATAAGAAAAAGGAATCTAAAGTAATTTTCCGTAGTTCCATACATCTTTATCTCGAATAATTTTCTAAAACATTCAAAGTACTAGACATTTTTACATTTTGAATTTCATATCGATTTCTAAAATAATCCTAGTTCGATGTAATATAGAACGTGGTTTTATGAGATAGATTCGAAGTTCGCAGCCATTAGCTCGATATTGTCTTCAATATGAATGGAATATCACTTCATTTCTGCTAATAATATTCAGAATTCATGGTTTATCGGTAACGTCGGGTATCGACATTAAAATGGTAAGGGGGCTTCGTTAGGTCTATTCTTATATCTCGTCTGTGGCAGTATCCTAATAAATGCACCGAGTGAAGAAAATCGAAATGATAAAGAGGCCAGGATATTGCATGGAAATTATGCATTAAAGAAAAATTGATCGTTCGATGTTAATGTTCTACCAGCGTAGAGGTTTCTCTGGCGGATCGACGTTTAACGTCTGCCAGAATTGGCGGTCGTGGAGGCGGCGAAAAGGGAGTTCGAGTGTTGGAAGAAATTCCTACGGAAAAAAGTCGACACCGCGAACCACTCTTATCCCTTATCGGAAAGAAATAGTTTCTTATTTCCTACGCCTGAGGTCCAACCGAACTTGTTTGCATCGTTATTGGCTGTTTTCGAGCACCCGGGAAAGACCTGCATCCTGAGAAGGACCCGGTTCCCGTCTATTTTCCTAAGACTTCCGAACGTCTACTTTGATAGTCGGCGAAAAACTGGACGAACGTGCTCGACTGTCCTCGCGAACTTCGAATCTTTCGTCGCCTCGGAATTCACCCTTGCAAATTGTCCAATTACGATGGACCGAAGGACTTTCAGACTTTCGTCTTCGCCATTCCGTAAGAAATTGTCGATGAGCTCTCGGTGATAAGTCACGAAAGGATTCCTCAGCCATTCTCGATCCAAGTTTTCTATTCGGATCACCGTCCGAGTTCGAAATCATCAAGAAAAAAGCTTAAGATTTACTATATTGTACTCTAAGTT